CCCCTGCCTCGCCCTCTCCTGCCCCTTCTTCCCCTCCCCTTCCCGTCGGACTGCGTGGCTTGACTTCGGTGTCGGCCTCCGGCGATGAGGGGAGTCGTGGGGCGTCGCCTATGGCGCCGGCCAAGAGCATCGCCGGCGGCCGACGTGATGCCCAGCCAGTCGCGGAGAAGCGGGCCGCGGATGTGCAGCCAACTTTGGACGCCGCGAAGGAGGCCGCGAAGAACACCGCGAAGGAGGCCGCGAAGAACACCGCGAAGGAGGCCGCGAAGAACACCGCGAAGGAGACCGCGACGGGCACCGCGAAGGACACCGCGAAAACCACGAAGGAGACCGCGGACGAGACCGCGGACGAGACCGCGGAGGAGATCGCGGAGGAGACCGCGAAGGAGCCCGCGGAGGAAACCGCGGAGCAGTTGGCAGGGGAGCTTTCGAACGGGAAGCGCGTGTCAGAGAAGCCGTCGACAAGGGAGCAGTCGAACGCGGAGCTCGCTTCAGAGGAGCGGACGACATGGGAGCAGTTCGATGAAGGCACATCGAGCGACGTGGTGGAGGTGCAGCCCGGACCTCGGAAGTCGGGCCGAATTCGGAGGCCACCCGACTTCTTCGTCCCCGCTGCCTTCACCACGGTGTACGATGTGGACGACGACGACCTGGCGTACGATGACGCCGAGGACGATGAGGAGTTTTCGGAGCTCGACCCCGACATGCACGCCGATCCCGAGCACCAGTGGGACATTTCGACCATGACGGTGAAGGAGGCGTTGGCGAGCTGGAAGGGCCCGGCGGTGAAGGCTGGCATGGAGGAGGAGATTCGTAGCCTCATCAACATGGGCACTTGGGAGCTGGTCGAACGCCCGCCGGGGGTGAACATAATGAGGAACCGGTGGGTGCTGACAACGAAGTACCGCATCGACGACACGGTCGAGCGCGAAAAGGCGAGGCTGGTCGTGAAAGGCTTCACGCAGGTGTATGGCGCTGACTACGACGAGACATACGCGCCGGTGAGCAGCTACGTCACGCTGAGGATTTTCCTCAGCATCGTCGCCGTCCTCGACCTCAACCTGATGCAGCTGGACATGAAGAACGCTTTTTTGCAGAGCAAGCTCGACCGCGTGCTGTACATGTACCAGCCGGACTACTTCAACGACGGGACCGGCCGGGTGTGCAAGCTGCTGAAGAGCCTCTATGGGCTGAAGCAGTCGCCGCTGCTGTGGTACACGGCTCTCAACGACGTGTTGGTTGGCGCCGGGTGGAAGAAGAGCCAAGTCGATGAGGCTCTGTACTTCAAGGCCGGCGACGACAAAGTGACCTGCTGGGTGCTGGTCTACGTCGACGACCTTCTCGCCGCCAGCAGCAGCACCGCGATGCTGAAGGAGCTGAAGGAGCTGCTGGAGGCCGCTTTCGAGCTGCGCGAAATTTCGCCTGTGCAGAAGTATCTTGGCCTGGAGATCGTGCGCGACAGGCCGGCGCGAAAATTGTGGCTGCAGTTCGCGGCGACGACGACGAGGCCGGACATCGTATTCGCGTGCAGCAAGCTGGGGAGCGGCCTCACGGTGAGGAGCGACCAGCACTGGCGCGAAGTCGACCGCTGCCTCGCCTACCTCGCCAACACGCGAGACACCGCCCTGGAGTTCGGCGGTGGTCCGGAGTCACTGGAGTTGGTCGGCTTCGTGGACGCCGACGACGCGGACGACAAGCAGAACTGGATGAGCACGGGCGGCTACGTGTTCGTCTACGCAGGGGCTGCGGTCTCCTGGTCGAGCCAGCGCATCAAGTGCGCGACGCTGTCGTCGACCGAGTCGGAGTACGTGGCGGCCGTCGAAGCCGACAAGGAGGGACGTCGCCTTCGTTTCCTCCTCGCGGAGTTCCAGCGGCTGGACGCTGGAAAGCCGACTGTCCTCAGGGTGGACAACAAGTCGGCCATCACGATCGGCGAGGGCATGGGGTTAACGGGCAACCTCAAGCACATGGAACGGCGACAGGCCTGGCTGCAGCACATGGTGAAGCGCGGGAAGTTTTCGCTGAAGTACATCCCGACCGCTGAGCAGCCGGCCGACTTCCTGACGAAGGCGCTGCACTACCCGGCCTTCAACCAGTGCTCCGTTGCAATCGGCCAAGTGCGCCTGGCCGATGTGGGCGACGGTGACAACGACGTGCAGCAGTAGGTGCCATGCCCTTTTGCATGGCTGGTGCGGTGACCGGCGTGCTGTGCGTTGTGTGCACGCCGACGGGCTATTCTCCGAGCAGTACTGCCGTGTGGGCCGGGGGGGGGCCCAAGCGTGAACGCGGCAGGGGAGTGTCAACGGGAGTTGTGTTTGGCCCCGTCCTCGCTTGGGCGGAGCCGACCGTGGGAGCCATGAAATCTCAGTGGCCTGTGGGAGCCACGAAATCGCGGTGGCCCGTGGGAGCCACGAAATCTCAGTGGCCCGTGGGAGCCACGAAATCGCGGTGGCCCGTGGGAGCCACGAAATCTCCGTGGCCCGTGGGAGCCACGAAATCGCAGTGGCCCGTGGGAGCCACGAAATCGTGGAGGACCGCGGTGGCCGAGAAACCGCGGGAGGACCGCGAAATACCCGGTCAACCAGGATACCCGGGCGACGTGCGCGAAAGTCGCCGGGGATGTTGTCTACGAAGACGATCCCGGGGTGGTATCCCGAGGTCGACGTGGCTGGTGGGCGCCGTCACGGGTGAAGTGTCTGCGCTGGGCGTGTGACGGGGAGTTGGGCGCCAACCAGCTGCACGCACCTGCGAAGCTGGTGCACCGTTGTCCCGCGGATGCAACGCTGTGCAGCCGACCTACTGCAGCGTTGGCACACCGCGGACGGGCAACGTTGGCAAACCGCGACTCTGCTCTGCTGGAGCGCGGTCGACCAAGTCACGCTGGCACGCGGTCGACCGCGCTGCGCTGGCAGTAGACCAGCAGCCTTGCTAGGTCTGATGTAGTAAGTGTTGCCAATGTTGATAAAATCATTCTGAACTTTTGTTGTCATGTTTTCCTAGTGAAACTCTTGCCGATTTTCCCCATGAACTAGCAAGCAGTGTTAGCACTTGGAAACGACTAAGGAACGAACGAACGCTACGATCACTCTTGCCCCGTGCCTAGCCCGCAGTCTAGCTCCCGTTGCACAAGTTATCTCCGCAGCGGCCGCCTGGTTCACCGCCTGTGTTTAAGGCGACGTGGCTAGGGGTTTCAGTCAGCGTGAGGGAGTTGACATATTCCAGACCTTCGCCCCGACCCCGAAGATGACTACTCTTCGGGTGTTATTGCACGTAGCAGCACAGCGAGACTACGAGCTGCACTCCCTTGACTTCTCCACTGCGTTTCTCCAGGGCCGCCTACACGAGGAGATCTGGCTGCGCCGTCCTCCTGGATTCACTGACACCTTCCCACCTGGGACCTAGTGGAGCCTGCGGCGGCCACTCTACGGTCTCCGCCAATCGCCCCGTGAGTGGCACGACACTCTTCGCTCCACGCTTCGTGACCTTGGGTTTTGTCCTTTCTCTGCCGACCCGTCGCTGTTTGTTCGCACTTGTTCCACTCCTTTCTTTATACTAATGTACGTCGACGACTTGGTCTTTGCTACAGCAGACAGGGCAGCTCTGGCTGAGGTGAAGTCCGAACTGCAGAAGAGACACACGTGCACTGACCTCGGTGAACTGCAGAGCTACCTTGGCCTGCAGATCACCAAGGACAGAGCCGCTCGCACCATCACACTGACTCAGTCACACATGGTGCAGCAGGTCCTTCGGCGGTTTGGGTTTCAGTTCTCCACCACACAGCCCACTCCTCTTGCCGTTGACCACCGACTCACTGGCCCTTTTCCCGACGAGCCTTTTGAGTCTAGTGGTCCCTACGCAGAGCTCGTGGGCTGCCTCATGTACCTGATGACTTGTAGTCGGCCGGACCTCGCCTTTCCCCACAGCTTCCTCTCTCGCTTTGTTGCGACTGGGAGACACCGTCCTGTTTACTGGACAGCTGCTGTGAGGGTGGCGAAGTACCTGGCGACTACATCAGGCATGGGGCTTGTGCTTGGAGGGACGCAGCCAGTTGTGTTGACCGGTCACTGCGACTCTTCATACGCTGACGACGTGGAGACTCAGCGCTCGACTCAGGGGTACTGCTTCAGTCTGGGTGCTGGTGCTGTGTCGTGGAGGTCTATACGGTCGTCGTCTGTGGCTTCGTCCAGTGCAGAGGCTGAGATCTACGCTGGTGCCATGGCGATTGACCTTCTTGCTCGCCGACCTTGGTGAGCGGCCTCGCTCTGCACCGACCTTGTACGCTGACAACAAGGCCATGATCCTCCTGTGTCGAGAGCCTCGATTGGAGAGCAGAGTGAAGCATATTGACATGAGGTACTTCCTCCTGCGAGAGTTGCAGCGACGCGACCAGGCACGCTTGTACTTTGTGGCCTCATAGGTTTTGTGTGCAGTTGGGGCTTGTTGAGGTAGGCCCTCGGTTGCTGTAGACTTGCTGTTTGCTCTGCTTGTTGTGCTTTGCTATACATCCTAGTGAACTCTTGAACTGGCCTTGTGGCTGCTTGCTTGTGCTCGGAATTTGTGTGGTGTCCTTGAGATCCACCCTGAGCTTGCCTTGCTTCTTGTATTGACTGGTCTTGTTCACCCTAGTTGCTTTGATGCCCCTCACTTTGCCTATGAGGGTGTGTCAAATGTTATTATAGGTTCTTAGGCTACAATGAGTAGCCCTCTAGGGAGTACAACCCTTTTTAGGGTTGAGTACCGGTACTCGTACTGTATCCCATCTTGCTAGTCCCAAACCATTCCGTTGCATTCTATTTATAAGACAAACCATCAAATTGCATACAATTTCGGTTTTACGAATCACATCGAATGCACTATTTCCACGTCTATGAAGTAGCTTTCTCCATGCAGACAGTTGACATTGAAGAGGACAGAGCTCTGGGGTGGTAGTGTACTGTACACTACTACCGGCAGTCAATCCACACACACACAGACATGCAGAGGTGGTGCGGAAGCCTAACCTAGGCACGCTTGAGAGTAACCACGGGGAAGAAAGGATGTGCGGTGAACTCAAACGAAGCTTTGAGCACCGACCCCGCGCCCGCTCTGTGCGCCACACAGAGCGCCGTGGCGTTGCTGGCACACACGCGCTCCAGCTGCTGCACCTCCCCCTCCACCGCCTCACTCGCCCCTGCTGTGCCTCCAGGGGCGGCTGTGGCTGCGAGCGCATGGATGGTGGGGAGATTGGTGGCGGTGGTGCGGAAAAAGTCGAGCGACATCTGGTAGAGCTCTGGCACCTGAGGGAGGGGAGGGAGAGGAGAGGGTAAGGGGCACAGAAGGAAGCCGGGATGCTGTCAGGTGTACGGGAAGGGATGGTGGGCAGGTTGGTGGTGGTGGAGCGGAAGAAATCGAACGACATCTGGTAGAGCTCTGGGACCTGGGGGAGGGGAGAGAGAGAGGAGAGGGAGAGGGAGGGCACAGGAGGAAGCTGGATGGTGGGGAGATTGGAGGCGGTGGTGCGGAAGAAGTCGAGCGACATCTGGTAGAGCTCTGGGACCTGCAGTAGAGGCAGGGGAGGAGAGGGTGAGGGCACCGGTTACGGCATACACGCTATCCAACAGGAGGGGGAATGAGAGGGCTGTGGAGGGGATGAGGGTTGTAGCACGGGGAATGGGGATGGCAAATGGGCACATGGGGCATGTGGAGGGCGAGGGGAGGGCCAGGGGAGGTGTGGGGTGGGGGGGGGGGGGTGACGGGGGGGGGGGACGCACGGAGAGGCCTGCGGGGGAGACGGAGCGTTAAAATGCAGTGAAGGAGAGCGGCCGGTAGGTGGGCTCAGGCAGCTTGAAGATGGGGAGTGATGCCAACGAATGCAAGAGTAGAAAGCTAAAAAAACAAAATCATTCCTTTGATGACGGGAAGTGGGGGAAAGGAAGACGCACAGAGAGGCCGGCGGGAGAGACGGCGCGCTGGAAGGCGGCATAGGAGAGCGGCTCGGGCAGCTGCACCCTCTTGAGCACCGCATAGCGCTGCTGGTAGCGCTGGTGGGCATACAGGGGGGGTGGAGAGGGGTAGGTGGTGAGACAGACAAGAAACGGCAGCTGCACCCTCTTGAGCACTGCGTAGCGCTGCTGGTAGCATTGGTGGATGGGCACACAGGGGGGGTGTTGAGGGGTTGTGGAAGGAAGGGTGGTTAGTGGATGGAACTAGAAGGAGAGCGGCTTGGAAACCTGCACCCTCTTGGGAATTGTGGGAGGAAGGATAGTAGATGGATTCGGTGAGGTAGGTGAGACAAGGAAATGCAGATATGGCAACGTGGCAGGGGGTCGATGCCCTCCCTGCCCTGCCCATCCATCCACCGTCCACCATCCACCCTCACGCCCCTCACTCCACTCACTCCCCTCACTCTCCTCACTCTCCTCACGCCCCTCACTCCACTCACTCCCCTCACTCTCCTCACGCCCCTCACTCCACTCACTCCCCTCACTCTCCTCACGCCCCTCACGCCCCTCATGTTCCTCACACCTGACGGTCGCTGTTGAAGGGAGAGGGGCGCTGGGGCAGCTTGCCGTCTTCAACGAATGCAGCCAGCAGCTGTGGGTGTGGTGAGGGGAGAAGGGAGGAGTATTGCAAACATTCATGAGAGATGAGTGGGCAATGCGAAGAGGTAGGGGAGAGGGCCGCTGGGGCAGCTTGTTGCAAGGACGAATGTGGCCAGCAGCTGTGAGCATGGTGAGAGGAGTAGGGCGCAGGTTGGAGGAGAGGGGCAGTGGAAAACGGGGAGCGAGGAGGAGGGGCATTGCGAACATCCAAAAGGGTGAGTGGGGAATGAGGGGAGGTGAAGAGAGAAAGGTGGTGCGGCAGCTTGCCCTCCGGGACGAATGCCGCCAGCCAGCAGCTGTGGGTATGGTGAGGGGAGTGAAGTGGGGGGGTTACGGATTGAGGCATTCAAGAGAGGTGAGTGGGCAATGGGAAGAGGTGCGGGAGATGGCCGCTGGGGAAGCTTGCTGCCTAGGACGAATGCTGCCAGCAGCTGTTGGCGTGGTGAGGGGAGTAGGGAGAAGGGTGGATGAGAGGGTAATGGGATGAGGTGAGCAGAGAGGGCCGCTGCGGCAGCTTGCGATCTAAGACGAATGCAGGCAGCAGCTGTGAGAATGGTGAGGGGAGAGTATTGCAAGAGGAGGATAGTGAAGAAGGATGGAGGAGGAAGGCAGAGGTGGAAGGCAGAGTGGAGATGGGAGTGTGGAGAGGGAAGCGGGGGAGGTGGGAGTGAGGCGGGATTTCGAATTTGGGGAAGGGAGAAGGGGTCGAGTGGGCAATGTGAGGAAGAAATGGGGGAGGATGGAAAGCGGCGCGAGGAGGGAGCAAGAGGAGCAGAGAGGTGATGGAGGAGGGTGGGGAGCAGGGCAGGTGGGGCGGGTGATGGAGGAGGGTGGGGAGCAGGGCAGGTGGGGCGGGTGATGGAGGAGGGTGGGGAGCAGGGCAGGTGGGGCGGGTGATGGAGGAGGGTGGGGAGCAGGGCAGGTGGGGCGGGGCGGGGAATGCTTGGGGCAACAAGAGTGTTGAGTGAGGCACTGCAGCAATACAGCAGCAGGAGTGGAGGGAGGCAGAGCAGAGAGGAAAGAAGAAAAGAAAGAGGGGACGTATGGGCAGGTGCACCATGTTATCACATTCCCGCCATGTTACCACATTACATTACACATGTTACCACATTACATTACACATGTTACCACATTACATGACACATGTTATCACATTCCCACCATGTTACCACATTACATGACACATGGTATTGAATTTCCACCATGTTACCACATTACATTACACATGGTATTATCACATTCCCACCATGTTACCACATTACATTACACATGTTATAACATGTCAGACATGTTACACATTCCCACCGACTCATGACCTCACCTGTCCACACGTTCCTCTCACCCGCACGTAGGCCTTGCAGAGCAGCTGGTAGGCGGTTATCAAAGCCAGATCAAGGGAGGGCGGTGGCAGGTGCACAATGCACATGTGACATGAATTCCTGCCCACACACTCCTCTCACTCACCCGCACGTAGGCCTTGCAGAGCAGCTGGTAGGCGGTTATCAGCGCCAGATCAAGGGAGGGCGGTGGGGGCGAGGGAGGTGGGACTGCTGCCGGCTTGCGGCGACCCTTGCGGGAGGAAGGGGCTGCGACAGGGTGAGGGGCATGGGGATGGGGTGATATTTATGGGGATGGGGTGAGGGGCATGGGTGAGCAGTGCCAGATCAAGGGAGGGGGGTGGCGGCGAGGGGGTTGGGGTTGCTGCCGGCTTGCGACGCGCCTTGCGTGAGGGAGGGGCTGCGACAGGGTGAGTGAATGGGTGTACATTGGGGAGAAAGCTTGGCAGAATCGTATTCCATCCACCACCATTGGGGTTCCAATAGCCGCATGGTAAAGTTGAGATTAAAAAATGCTCTTAAAGCTCGAGGCCCAAATTGTTCAACCTCACTAAGGTTGACTTTTGGGTGGCGGGAGAGGAAGGTTGACTTGTTGGGAGTTGGGCAGTTGGCAACAGCTTCGCGCTACACCCTCAGGGTTTTCGCTGACTCAGCGAACCCCAGGGAGCAACTCGGGTTTCGTTCGGGAGTCCCAAATTGCTGGGACCCCAAATTGGTCCAATTTGAGAATCACAATACTCTTGGTGTTTCCTGCTCTCCAATTCGACAAAAAAATGCTGGCCAATAAGATTGCATCGTACGTCTCGTAACATCATTTCGCAACCCAAACAACACTCAAACAGCACACCCATCAACATTAGCAAGCTTCTCCCGCGCGCTCCGCAATTTGGGCTTCGAGCTTTAAGAGCCAGTGGCCATAATCAACTTATGAGGCGCCTCACAATTTTCCTAGAATGCTCTCAAGAGCCAACCACATTCGGATGCCCTTAATTAGCCAACTCAACCTTTGAGGACCGAAATAATCTGTCCAAAGTAGGCTCAGCCCCATCCGAAATAATCACTTTTGAGAATCCCAGAAGTGATTTCAACAATAGAAGTGTGTTTCTAGGAGTGTGGCACATGCGAGAGAAGAAGCCTGGCAGAGGCCCACCTGTGAAAGGTTTCTGCAAGGAAGCTTCCCGGGCAGACACGTTGTGGATGAGCGTGGCCAGCACACTGTCGAGGTACCTGCATGCATGCATGGGGAGGGGGTATGTGCAGGCGTTAACAGGAGTACTTGTGCTGTGTGCCGTGTGCCATGCCATGCATGCACCATGTGCAGACACGTTGTGGATGAGCGTTGCCAGCACACAGTCCAGATACTCCTGCTGGATTGTGAAGGTGAAAGCCAAGTTTTTGTGGTCGAGGTGACTTTTGAGTCGAGAGGTGACTTTTGAGTCGACTCAAAAGTCACCTCGGATGAGCGTTGCCAGCACACTGTCCAGATACTCCTGCTGGATTGTGAAGGTGAAAGCCAAGTGTTTTTGGTCGACAAGGGCAGCTTGTACAGCTACTCCTGCTGCAGGTCGAAGGGTGTGGGCGAGGCATGGCGTGTGGGTGGGAGGCATGGCGTGAGGGTGGGAGGCATGGTGTGGCATGGTGTGACGTGGTGTGATGGACGCACCAGAAGGCGGAGAGGAACTCAGAGGGCGCATAGAGGCGCGTGGAGGAGGCAAGCCGAGGGGTGTGGGAAAGGCAAGAAGATGAAGGCATGATATGTTGGAGGCATGGCGTGGCGTGATGGGGCAGGCAGGACGCACCAGAAGGCAGAGAGGAAGTCGGAGGGCGCATATAGGGCACGTGGAGAAGCCAAGCCGAGGGGAGTGGGAAAGGCATGATATGTTGGAGGCATGGCGTGGCGTGATGACGCACCAGAAGGCGGAGAGGAACTCAGAGGGCGCATAGAGGCGTGTGGAGAAGCCGAGGGGTGTGGGAAAGGCATGAAGATTAAGGCATGATATGTTGGAGGCATGGCGTGGCGTGGCAGGTGGACAGGACGCACCAGAAGGCGGAGAGGAACTCGGAGGGCGCATAGAGGCGTGTGGAGAAGCCGAGCAGCAGGTAGCGAATGACGATGCGACACGTGTGCTCCACCACCCAGCTGGTCGCCACGCTCTCCCTCCACCACCCCTGCTCGGAGCTCAGGGTTGATTAAAGGGGAGTTGGGGGGAAAGGGGAATAGGGGAGTGGGAGAAGAGTGCACAGAGAAGGGAAGTAGAGAGCTGCTTTGCTACGAAGTTACTGCATTCAGCCGTCCTTCACACACATGCCCCGCCTTGCATGAATTGATGGCCGAGCAACATGAGATTTATGCTCGTGAATAGTGTGTGCCATGCCACCCAAGGCCCACGCATCACATGGAATTTCAACATACTCGGAATTCACCTGCACACATACTCAAGACATCAACAGCCACACCACCTAAAAAATCACCTGCAAAAGCACCTGGGGAACTACCTGAGCGAAATTGGCGGCGGTGTAGCGCTCCACGGCGTCACACGCGTCCACGTCGCCAGCCTAAAAGGGCGGCGGGCAGGAAAGGCGTTGAGGGGAAAGGCGTTGAGGGGAAAGGCGTTGAGGGGAAAGGCGTTGAGGGGAAAGGCGTTGAGGGGAAAGGCGTTGAGGGGAAAGGCGTTGAGGGGAAAGGCGTTGAGGGGAAAGGCGTTGAGGGGAATCGCGTTGAAAACACGCAAATTTCTGCACTTGCTTCTCACAACACCGCAAAACACAGCGAGGCGAGAGACAGCACATGGCAGCAGAGAGACGGCATAAGGGAGGGAGAAAAGCGGCCGGCAAAAGGAGGAGCAGCAGGCAGGGGGGGCGCACGAGTGTGAGGAGGTGGCTCCAGTCGGGCAGCAGCTTGGCCAGCATTCGCCTCTCCCTCGCCCTGTTGCTGCACTGCGCCCTCAGCACTGCCTGCACCGCCTGGTTGGCACGCACGATGAGATAGGGGGGGCGGGATAAAAGTCAGGCGGGACAGATGAAAGGATTGGCCATCATCAGCATTCCATCGCGCCGTTGCTGCACTGCGTCCTCAGCACCGCCTGCACCGCCTGGTTAGCATACAACATGGGATGGGGGCAGGTGGGGACAAGATGGGGGCTTGGCCAGCATGCGCCTCTCCCTCGCCCCGTTGCTGCACTGCGCTTTCAGCACCGCCTGCACCGCCTGCTTTGCATGCAACATGGGATGGGAGGTAGGTGGGTGGACAGATGAAAGGCTTGCCTCCTATTCCCACAGCCGCACCACGTTCCCCTTCCCCACACGTCTATTCCCAGCCTCTCGTGGGTGGCCCGCCCCCCTACGTCTGCCCCGTCCCACTTACATGTGATGCCTTCTTGACAAACTTCCCTAAAGCAGCACTGGAGCCCGCATCCCCACCACCACCACCACTAACTCCCGCATCCCCACCACTGTCTGCAGCAGCTCCAGCCGGGGGCAGCAGGGCGGGCGGCAGGTGTAGCGAATGCAGGATGACGTCGGTGGGGTCGTGGCCGAGAATGAGACCATCTCGCAGCAGCAGCAGCTGGAGAGGAGGACGGGAGGGCAGTGAAGGCAAGGGAAGGGGAGGGGAGGGGGAGGGGAGATGGAGAGACATAAGGTGCAGCGAATGCAAGGTGACATCGGTGGAATCGTGGCCGAGAATGAGGCCGTCTCGCAGCAGCAGCAGCTGGTGGGGGGAATGGGAAGGGAGGGGAAAGGAGGGGAACGGAGGGGAGGGGAGGGGGGGGGGATGGGTGAAGGAGAGACATAAGGTGCAGCGAGTGCGTGACTACGTCTGCAGCGAGTGCGTTAGGACGGCTGTGGCGTGGTGGCCGAGAATGAGACTGTCTCACAGCAGCAGCAGCTGGCTATCACACACTCATACCTGCAGCGCGGCGCGCCGGCTACAGGGCCCGGGTTGAGGGCGCGGAAGTGGGCGAGTTACAATGCCCGCATACAGAGCACACATAGCCTAGCCAGCACACCAGCACACCTGCATGCATCCAACCCACCTGCAGTGCAGCGCGGGCGACGGGGCCGGGGTTGAGTGCGCGGAAGTGGGCGAGGAAGCGAGAGAGCTCCAGCAGATCGGGACACACCAGCCACCTGCACTGCATATATGCAGCCATCACACACTCATACCTGCAGCGCAGCGCGGGCTACAGGGCCCGGGTTGAGGGCGCGGAAGTGGGCGAGGAAGCGCGAGAGCTCCAGCAGATCGGGACACACCAGCCACCTGCACTGCATATATGCAGCCATCACACACTCATACCTGCAGCGCAGCGCGGGCTACAGGGCCCGGGTTGAGGGCGCGGAAGTGGGCGAGGAAGCGCGAGAGCTCCAGCAGATCGGGCGGTGAGGTGGATGGCAGATGGCAGATGAAAGTGAGGTGGGTCAACAGACTAGAGAAATGGTCCAACGCCTGGGGGTGAAGGGGGTGAAGGGAGGTTGTGGAAGCGGGCGAGAAAGCGGGAGAGCTCCAGCAGATTGGGCGGCGAGGTGAATGGCAGATGGCATATGAAGGCGAGGTGGGTCAGTGGGTGAGAGAAATGTCTTATTGTTTGGGCGTGAAGGGGGGGGGAGAAGAGGGGGGGAAGGGGGAGGCAAGGTGGGGTGGGGGGGTTGGGGAAAGCAAGCAGAGTGCATGGGGTGAGTGAGCAGAATTAAACTGGGGGAAAAGGTGGGTTAGCAGACAAACCACGTGGTTCAGTGGTTGGGAGGGAGGAAGGTGCGGGTGGGGAGTGGCTGTTTGAGAGGTGCAGAGGAGGTGCAGAGGAGCAGCAGCGGAAGGAGGAGAGATTAGGATAGGAGGAGGAGCAGGTAAGTTGGGTTGACTGATGATTACAAGGAATCTAGGAGTTACGGGATAGAGAAAGGGTGAGTGAAGGACCTTAGAGGAAAGGTGAGAAATGACAAGACAACCACCTCGATAAGTGCAAGTGCACTGCCTTGCATGCAGCCACCCCACCAACCACTCCCCTCACTGACACGTCAGCAGCTGCCTCACCTCGTGCCACGTCAGCAGGTGCGTGGGACGGGGTGGCGTGGGCGGCAGCAGGTGGGTGTTGATGGCCGGGCAGATGCCTGGCGCCGCCCTCCATGACGCCGTCTGCTGCCCCAAACTCCCCACCTCGTCTGCGTGCTCCCCCTCTCCTTCCTCTCCCCCAGCAGGGGGTGCGGGCGGGGGCATGGAGGTCTTGAGTTTGTGCAGGGCGGTTTGGGCGAGCTGAATCTTGAGCGCGCAGGCAGGCAGGTGGGCAGGGAGACGGGCCGTTTGTAGCGCTGAGAGCGCATCAAAGAGAGCCTGGTAGGTGGGGAGGGGACGGGGAGGGAGAGGGAGGAAGAAAGGGCGAGCTGAATCTTGAGAGCACACGCAGGCAGGCAGGTGGGCGGGGAGACGGGCCGTGTGCAGCGCTGAGAGCGGGAGGAGGTCATAGAGGGCCTGAAAGGGGAGGGAGGGGGGAGTGGGTGGTGCGGGGGAGTTAGAGGGGAGGTTGAGGCGGTTTAGGAAAATTTGGGCGAGCTGAATCTTGAGCGCGCAGGCAGGCAGGTGGGCGGGCAGGTGGGCTGTGTGCAGCGCTGAGAGCGCATCAAAGAGAGCCTGATGGGTGGGGAGAGGCGGGCTGGGGTGGGGAAGGAAAGGGGTGTCAGTGGCAGGGCAGCGAGGCCTTGACGCGGAACAGGGTGGTCTGGGCGCGCAGGCAGGTGGGGGGGCAGGCAGGCGGGCCGTGTGTAGCACTGAGAGCGCATCAAAGAGAGCCTGGCAGGTGGGGGGGGTTGGGTGGGGTGAGGGAAGGAGAGCGGTTTGGGGGACGAGGAGAGCTTAAGAGGGCAGGGAGGTGCCGAGGCTGTGCAGGCAGCTTGGGCGAGTTGGATCTTGAGCGCACAGGCAGGCAGGTGGGCTGGCATGCGGGTCGTGTGCAGCGCTGAAAGCACGTCATAGAGAGCCTGGTGGGGAGAGGGAGGGAGGAAAAGTGGGGGGCGGTGGTATTAGAGGGGAGGAGAGGGGTGTGTGGGGCGGTGCAGGGCGGTCTGGGCGAGGTGGACCTTGAGCGCACAGGCAGGCAGGCAGGCTGTGTGTAGCACTGAGAGCGTGTCAAAACGAGCATGAGGAAGGGGAGATGGGGTTGCAGGGGGAGTGTAAGAAGCGGAGAGGGGTGGGGAACGGTTATGGATGAGTGGCAGAGCAGTGACAGCGGGGATTTGGTTGGTATGGCAGCATGAGAGGAAGAGGCAGGGTGGCATGCTGAGAGATGAGTTTTTGAGGGTGGTATGCACGTGCCTCTTCTAGCGAGAGATGAGTTTTTGAGACGTCTCAAAGATTTGCTGAGTGGCTGCATGCCATGCGCTACTTCTGGCGAAAAAGGAACCACATGCTAAGTTCACACCGACTTTTGAGTCGCCTCAAAAAGTCCGAGATATGAGACGACTTTTGAGGCGCCTCAAAAGTTCACACCGGCATTTGAATGAGCGCTGCCCCATCCCCATGTGCGCGCTACACGCTCAGGCATGACTGTCCAGGTAGACTGCACCAAAAAACGAGAGAACAAAGCGATGCTATGTGCATACATACATACATGCGAGCGAGAATGCGATAAAACGTGCATGAGAGCAGCGCAGAGCAGAGCAGAGGAGGGAGTAGCAAGCAAGCGGTACCAGTCGGAATTGCATGCGGGCCACGAGGGCGGTGAGGAGGGCAGGGGGCAGCCCAGACAGCACAGGGTCGCGCTGCTGCTGCTCCTTGCGCCCTGATGCTGATGCCTTCCCTGGTGGTGCATGTGGGCATGGGCATAAATGAGGGAACAGGTGAGGGAACAGGGCATGTGAGGAGGTGGATGGCATGGGAGTGAAGATGCGAGTGCTGATGATCGTGAAAAAGGCAAAGGCAACAGCTGGGGGGGAACGGGACAGGCGTGCCAACAGATAGCGGGGAAGAGGGACGGCGTGACACTCCGCTACACCGGAAGTTCCCACCCCCCACACTTCACACACCTTCCCCCCGCCACAGCCCCGCCAGCAGTGCTCTGAGTGGCGCCACTGCCGCCACGCCCACTCGCCCCTCCAGAGGTCTTTCAAGTAGGTGTGTGACCTCTCATCTCACTCACCTTTTCCCTTCCGAGCGTCCCCTTCCCCTTCCCCTTCCAGCCCGGCCAGCAGCGCTCTGAGCGGCGCCACTGCCGCCTCGCCCCTTCCACCCCCTTCCCCCCCCCTTCCACACCTCCCCCACCCCACACCTACCTGCTCCTTGTCCCTCCAGCCCCGCCAGCAGCGCTCTGAGCGGCGCCACTGCCGCCTCGCCCCTTCCACCCCCTCCCCCCCCCCTTCCACACCTCCCCCACCCCACACCTACCTGCTCCTTGTCCCTCCAGCCCCGCCAGCAGCGCTCTGAGCGGCGCCACTGCCGCCTCGCCCACTCGCCCCTCCAGAGGCAGTCCGCCCGCTGACGTCACAAAGTCCTCCTCCTGCGAGAGGAGGGGGAAGGGATGGGGGAGGGAAGAGGTTGGGAAGGGGGAGTAAGGGCGGGTGAAAAATACGCTCGCCCCTCCAGAGGCAGGCCCCCCACTGGGAGGGTAAGAAGAGGAGGGCGAGGGTAAAAGGGGGCTGAGGAAAGACTAGGAATGGGAGAAAAAGGGGGGCATGAGAGGAGAAGGAGGGCGAGAGGGATGGAGAGACGACATTTTGCATCATAATGCCCCAGTGACGCAAAACTTAGGGAGAAGAGAGGCCATGAGAAGAGAGGCCATGAGAAGAGGCAGTAAGTTGTGAACCGAGAGGAGGGGAGACGAGAGGACAGGTAATGAACTCAAGGCCCTTACGTCCAGAAAGGGCGACAGATGGATGGGTAGGTAGTTGGCGGCATTTCTCAATGTAATCGGCTGAAATCTCCAATCGGTGGGTTGGAAATATTTGTTGATAGTTTTAGCCAGCAGGGCTTCCCAAATGGCATGATGATATCATGCCGTGAAATCACGACTCTCACCTCGCGTTGGTGCGTCCAGCAGGAGGCAGAGCGCACGCTGTTCACACAGGCGAGGGTGGCTGACAGCAGCGCCAGCAGCAGCACACACACACATGGCATGGCATGATGCAGTGCCACTGTGCCAGCATGCCTCTCACCCACCTCGCGTTGGTGCGTCCAGCAGGAGGCGGAGCGCACGCTGTTGACACAGGCAAGGACAGCAGACAGCAGCGCCAGCAGCAGCGGTGAGGAAGCGAGGGAGAGGGAGGGCGAGGGGGAAGGCGTGCAGGCGGAGGGGGGGGCGAGCGGAGGCAGCAGCAGGTAGGCGCAGGTGAAGACGGTTTGGGGCAGGCTGTGGCCGCTGTGCCACGTGGCCTGGGAGGAGGTGGGGTAAGGGAAGGGGGGAAGACAGAGGCGTGACGGGGAAGGATGAGGAAGTGGGGAGTGGGATGTACAGGGCACGCATGGAGTGGGGTGGGGCGCAGAGGGTACATGGCATTGCAGCAGCAGGTAGGCGCAGGTGAATACGGTTTGGGGCAGGCTGTGCCCGCTGTGCCACGTGGCCTGGGGGCGGGGGGAAAGGGGGGGGGGGGGGGGGCAGACAAGAGGCGAGAGGGGGAGGGAGGAGAGGCAGCGAGGAGTGGGGCACACAGGGCGCGTGCATGAAATGGCGGCAGCAGCAGGTGGGCACAGCACAGGTGAAGACGGTCTGGGGTAGGCTGTCTGTGACCGCTGTGCCACGTGGCCTGGTGGGGGAAGGGGAGGTGGGGGGTGGTGGAAAGTGGGATGGGGGAAGTGACAGACAGGGGGGGAAGTAGGGGAGGGATGGGCACATGGAGTAGGGGAGGGATGGGCACATGGAGTAGGGGAGGGATGGGCACATGGAGTAGGGGAGGGATGGGCACATGGAGTATGGGCAGGTGCGCCTCCCTGCGCGCATGGTATGGTCGGGAGGGACTGAAACGCTGAGCAGTGGAAATGGGGGGGGAGGGGGGAAGAGAAGGGACGGTGCGGCTGGAAGCGGGGGTGCAGGCAGGCAGTGTGCAACAAGCGCAGAAAGCAATGCAAGTGGACCGCACCGCTGCAGCCCAGCAGCCCAGCGCACCCCAGCGCACCCCAGCGCACCTCAGCGCACCTCAGCGCACCTCAGCGCACCTCAGCGCACCTCAGCGCACAGCATCGCGTCTCAGAGGCCCACGATGCGGTGCGCTGGCAGAGCAGTGCGGAGGGGGAGGGGGGTACCAGCACAACAACAGTGCACCTCACCGCACACACACAGCCCACCTCAGCGCACACAGCCCACCTCAGCGCACACAGCCCACCTCAGCGCACACAGCCCACCTCAGCGCACAGCACCGCGTCTCAGAGGCCCACGATGCGGTGCGCTGGCAGAAGGCGGGAGGGGGGATGGAGGCAGCAGCACAGTAGCGCGCGCACCGTACGACACAACAACGCACCTCACCGCACCTCAGCACACAGCAATGCGGCCAGCTGTCGGAGAACGCGAGGGGGAGGAGAGGACAGCGCACCTCCCCTCACCGCTCCTCACCTCAGTCACAGAGGTCCACGATGCGGTGCGCTGGCAGAGGAAAGGAAGGGGGAGGTGGGCACCAGCACAGCAGCGCACCACACCATAGCGCACCTCACCTCACCGCACCACACAGCACCACGAAGCACCGCACCTCAGCGCACAGCAGCGCGTCACAGAGGTCCACAATGCGGTGCGCTGGCAGAGGCAGCGGCAGCAGCCCTCGCTCCACCGCCTCCCCCACACTCTCCACCTCCCCCCTCGCCCCTGCCTGCCCTTCCCCTCCGCCTTCCCCCTTGCCTCCCCCCATGCCCGCATCCATCTTGGGATCCATCATCTGTGCAGGGCGGAGAGAAGAGGCGATGGGGGATGGGCAGGGGGGCAGGAGAAATGGGGAACAGGGGAATGGGGGAAGAAGTGGGAGGTGAGGGTTGGTAAGCAGTGAGTGAAGACAGGGCGGATGAGAGGGACTATCAATCTGGGAGAGCGGGCGCAGGGGAAGTAGGATGAATGGGGGGGAGAAAGGCAAGAAGAGGAGAGAGGCGAGGAGGAGAGGGCAGGACAGAGCGAGAATGATGCGAGGGAGGTGAACGGGCGACGAAAGACGAGCAGACATGTGAGGGTGTGGGAAGTGAGGAAGGAAGCGCACAGTGGGGTGGGAAGGACGCAGTGGGGGGGGGGGGGGAGGGGGAGAGGAGTGCGGGGAGGGCGCAGAGCAGAGAGGGGCTTAAAATTCACCTGGAAAGCGGGTGAGGCGAGTTACTGCACCTGGAGGGCGGCCATGGCTTCGAAGAGACTGAAGGACTCGCCGTGCAGCAGCTCGCCTGACTGCAGCTCTGATGGCGTGGAGTGGAGGAGGGGGGAGAGGGGAGGAGGATGAGAGGAGGGGAGGAGTGGAGGAGGGGAGGGAGGGGAGGGAGGAGAGGGAGGGGAAAGGGGGGGTTGGTGAGATTAGGAACTGTAGAGTCTAAAGACGTTTCCGTGCATCAGCTCTCGTGTGGCGTGACGTCAGCATTGATGGTGAAGAGAGGGGCGGGGAGGGGGAGAGCGGGTGAGGAGGGGAGGAGGAGGTGTAATGCCTGTGGGCAGGGTGCACACGTAGGGTTGAGTGCACCCCCTGCGCCTCAATAACACCCTCGCTTTGACCGAGTGGGTAGCGAGGCGTTATAGGAGGGGCGAAAGGGGAGGAGGGGAGGAGGAGGGGAGGGAAGGAGGGGTGGGAGGGAAAGAGGGAGGGGGGATGAGATGAGGTGCGATGCAACCACGCAAGCACCCGAGTGAGAGTGAGATGGGGATGAGTGAGAGAGAGAGCATAGGTTGCTGCAATGGCGACACACTGCCATGCAAGCAGCGTGGTGACACGCGATGCAATTCGGACCCTGGTCTGTGCTGCCTCGCCCCTTCCACCGGGCTGTGGTCGCATTTCATGGCCAAGTCTCATCCGGCGCAACGTCCATCCGCGCAAGGTCCGCGGGCACTGCAATCAAGATCTCACCGGCGCAAGCGGCTGCGAGCGCCGCATCGGCGTCGCGCCACACCGTCTGATCGCCCGCCCGCTCCGCGCCCAGAGGCCGTGCGACGTCGTCCAGCGCCATGGCGACCGAAGCCTGCGACGGGCGTCGCACGAAGCTGAGTGGCTACCCCGATAAGCTACGAGCGACGACCGACGAGCGACAAATCACGAGCGACAAATGACGAGCGACAAATGACGAGCGACAAAACCGATGTCGGATAGCGATGGGACACACGTCAGGTACTCCGTGACTAGACCTAGTTTGAGGCGCCTCAAATGTCGTGAGGTGACTAATGTCCTCCCACGTCGTCACGCGTTTCAGCCGCGCAACGCGGTCGCGCTGGAATAAGATCTACTCGTTGCTTTGAATGTTCCGCCAAGATCGCTGTGGTAGTGGTAGTGGTATGGATCACGATCCCATGCCCAGCCCAATGGTGCAAATTTCCCAGAGTCTAAACGGACGGATTTCTCGTGAGGGCGTGTTCAATCCTTGTTCCGTAGTGAAGCCATGAATTAGACCGCGACGAACGTACAAGAAACGTACGAGTTGGACCCCCTACCCAACCAATCTAGAAATGGACTACCGTTGCACACAATAATAAAACATCTCCATAGTAATCACGTGACACGTGGGCCACGCCGAAACTCGTTGAGACCAAAATGAACCGAAATACACCGCAGAAGACGAGCCTAGAGGGAGCAGAGCCCCCTGCATTTTGTTGCTTCGTTTTTGGATGCACATGGATTCGAAAAAAAACAAATTTCAAATTGATACATAAAGAGAGCCATTCGTTAGGATAGGACGCGTTCTTACGTTGCCACGTCAAGAATCTCCCCCGCCTATCACTCCGCGGCAACCACGCCCCCACACGCTCGTCGTGCGTCACGAGCGCCGCGCGTCGTCGGGCGGCGCGCTCTCGTAACACCGCTGCTGCCTGTATCGTCGGCTCGCGTTCTTTGGCCCCTCGCGTGTCCCGAAAATCCTCCCGCCGCTTCCGCCGCTGCGCCGCCGGGCAGAGTCAAGGGACCAGCGGTGCAACACTCAGGTGCGTCCTTCCCCAGCTCCCCCCACGCACAAGGGTGCGTGACCTCGCCAGAGCCCTCACCAGCGCTCCTTTGCAGATGCCGCCATCTGCTGCCGCCCCTCGCGTCACTTCCCCCCCCCCGCCTTCGCCTGTCACGCGCCGCCTCACCGCTGCGCGCACGCAGAGAGGCGAGCGGGCAGTGCGGGGAGGCGCGCAGCGCACAGTGGGGGGAGGTGAGCGTGCAGTGGGGGAGAGGCGATCCACGCATGCTACAACCGCACGTGCTGCATCCGCACGTGCTGCATCCGCACGTGCTGCATCCGCACATTCTGCATCCGCACGTGCTGCATCCGCACATGCCATATTATTTGCTGATATCTAGAGCTCCATCGCCAACCAATGTCCCGTCAACTCCCATGCGTTGCTTCTCTCCGCCACCCGTCTCCCCTGCAGCTACGCCAACCCACCCTGCCCTCTCCCTCCACACGCGCCCACTGTGGCACGCCTCCGCCCGCCCACATCTCCTATATAGGAGGGACGGTGTGGTGGGGGAACTTCTTGGAAAATAGAATTGTAGGTCTCTAAATTTGTGCGGAGGAGGGAGGAGGTGGTGGACCCTCTTGGGTGAGTCCTCTCCTCTCGAAGAGGAGCGGCCCTGGAGCAGCCTTGGGAGCAGGCGAGGGTGGTGGGGTGGGGTGAGCCGGGAGGAGAAGCAGAGCAGCAAGTAGGAGGCAGCGAGCAGTAGGGAGCAGTGAGGAGTGAGCAGCGATGGGAGCGCCGAAGCAGAAGTGGACGGCGGAGGAGGAGGGGGCGCTGAGGGCGGGGGTGGACAAGTACGGCCCGGGCAAGTGGCGCGCCATCCAGAAAGACCCTGCTCTTGGGCCCTTGCTCACCCACCGCTCTAATGTTGATCTGAAGGTATGCGCGTGGTGAGGCCAAGGTGTGAATGCCCCCTGCTGCTGGGTTGATCTGGAGCCTCCAGGTGCGCGTGTCCCCCCCCCCTCACAACCCCCACTCTGTTGAAGTTTGACCCCTTGCTCACCCACCACCACTGCAACGGCGGAGGAGGAGGCGAGGAGGGGGCGCTGAGGGCGGGGGTGGATAAGTACGGCCCGGGCAAGTGGCGCGCCATTCAGAAGGACCCCGCACTGGGGCCGCTGCTCACGCACCGATCTAACGTTGACCTCAAGGTTTGTGTGTGTTAGGGTGTGCCCAAGGTCTGCTGGGGTGTGCTGCTGCTACTGGGTTAGGGTGTTCGGGGGTGGACAAGCACGGCCCGGCAAGTGGCGGGCCCCGCGCTCGGCCCCCTGCTCACCCACCGCTCTAATGTGAACCTCAAGGTGGGGTGGGCTGGGGTGGGCTGGGGTGTGCTGGGGTGGGCTGGGGTGTGCTGGGGTGTGCTGGGGTGTGCTGGGGTGTGCTGGGGTGTACTGGGGTGTACTGGGGTGTGCCGGGGTGTACTGGGGTGTACTGGGGTGGGCTGGGGTGGGCTGGGGTGGGCTGGGGTGGGCTCAAGGTGTGCCATCCAGAAAGACCCTGTTCTCGGGCCCCTGCTCGCCCACCACTCTAATTTCGACCTCAAGGTTTGTCGCGTTGTCCAAAGCACACTTACTTATCGATCGAGTTGGGGTGAGGAGGTGAGGTGAGGAGGTGAGGTGAGGAGGTGAGGTGAGATGAGGTGAGGTGAGGAGGTGAGGTGAGGGTGCTCCATCCAAAACGACCCCGCCCTTGGGCCCCTGCTCACGCACCGCTCATGATGACTTCAAGGTGTGTGCTGGGGTGGGGTGGGGTGGGGTGAAAGTGAAAGTGTGCCGCTCAGAAGTACGCCAAGTGACGCCAAGTGGTGCGGACACACCTTCCCTCCCCCCGCGCGTTGGAAAGTGTCCAGAAGGAACGCCCCCGCGCTCGGCCCCTTGCTCTCCCACTGCTCCAACGTTGACCCCCCAAGGTATGTGGCGCAACATGACGGCAGCCACAGGCGGTGGCAGCAGCAGTGCCAGAGCCAGTGCAGTGCCAATGGGTGCCCGTGCCAAGGGGTGCCAGTGCCAAGGGGTGCCCGTGCCAAGGGGTGCCCGTGCCAAGGGGTGCCCGTGCCAAGGGTACGGGCCCCCAGGGAGCAGCGGGCGCCAGGCAGTAGCACCAGCAGCAGCAGCGGTGTGGTGTTGCCCCCCTCCTTTCCTAACCCCCACCTCTCTACTCCGTTCCACCCCTCTCCCCACCTCCCCACCCTTCCCCGCTCCCTCTCCCCACCTCCCCACCCTTCCCCGCTCACCCATCCCCCCCTCCTCCCTCCCCCACTCCCCACCACCACCCCCCCCCCGCCTCCCTCCTCCCCTCCCCCCTCCCCCCCCCCCCCCCCACAGGACAAGTGGCGCAACATGACAGCAGCAGCCACTGGCGGCAGCAGCAGTGCCAGTGCAGTGGTGCCCGTGCCACAGGTGCGCACCCCCAGGGAGCAACAACTGCCCCACCCTTCCCCCAACTTTTCCCCCCCAACAGGACAATAGCGCAACATGACAGCAACAGCCACTGGCGGCAGCAGCGCCAGTGCAGTGGTGCCCGTGCCTTGGGTGCGTGCCCCCAGGGAGCAACGAGTGCCCCAACCCCCACCTGTTCCCCTCTCCCCATCACTTCCACCCCCCCTCCCGTCACAGGACAAGTGGCGCAACATGACAGCAGCAGCCACTGGTGGGGCCAGCAGCAGCGCCAGTACTCTGGTGCCCTCGCTCTCCCGTTTTTCCAACCCCCACTCTCCCTCTCCCTCTCCCCCCCACAGGACAAGTGGCGCAACATGACAGCAGCAGCCACTGGCGGGGCCGGCAGCAGTGCCAGTGCAGTGGTGCCCGTGCCAAGGGTGCGGGCCCCCAGGGAGCAGCGGGCGGCAGCAGCGGCGGCACGCGCTGAGCTGGCAGCAGTCGTGGCGATGGAGGAGGAGGAAGACGCCCTATTGGCCGCCGCTGCTGGCAGCGACGCTGACGTGGCTGCTGACGTGGCTGATGGCGCTGATGATGGTAGCGGGGCTGCTGACGCGGATTTCGCTGGTGGGGGGAGTTATGGGGGCGCAGGGGCGGGGGAGAGTGGGTCTATGGGCGGGGCTGGGGGGGGGGCGGATGGGGAGGCGGGGGGGGAGGGCGTGGGTGGGGGGAGCGCGAGCAGTGGGCGCACTGGCAGTCGGGGGGGGACGGGGGAGGAGGGGACGTGGGCTGTTGTACCCTCTGCTGTTGCTGGCGCTGCTGCTGGTGCTGCTGGCATGGGTCTACCTGTCACCAGCAATGCAAGGTAATGTGTGCGGTGCTGCTGCTGTTGCTGGCTGTAGGGACGTTGCATGTGGGGCGTTGGTTTAATGTGATAACAAGGCCTCCTGCTGCGTGCTGCCGCAACGCTCAACGAGCACAACTTCTCAGCTGAAGGAGACATTGTGCGGCTGCAGATTCGAAGTCTGTTAGCAATGTGAATGTGTGGGATTTGAACTCACGGGATTTGCTGGTGCTTGCTCCTTGCTGCTTGCAGCCTCTGTTTTCATATTTTGTGGCATGCTACTGCATGGCATGCATGGCATGACACGGCACGGCATGGCATGGCATGACACGGCACGGCAACTCACCGCATGGCATGGCATGGCATGGCATGGCATGGCATGGCATGGCATGGCATGGCATGGCATGGCATGGCATGGCATGGCATGGCAGGTTGGATGAGGCGATCATGATGGCCGTGGCATCACTGGAAGGCTCACAGGCAGCGCATGGGTGCTCCGCTGCTGCTGTTGTGAAGCACATTGAGGTTCCGACTCGATCCATCACACCGCACCGCATCACATCACAGCACAGCACATCACATCACATCACATCACAGCACAGCACAGCACATCACATCACATCACATCACATCACATCACAGCACAGCACAGCACATCACATCACATCGCATCGCATCGCATCGCATCGCATCGCATCGCATCGCATCGCATCGCGTCGCGCCGCGTCGCATCGAATCAAGTCACATCAAATCACGTCACGTCACACCTCATCTCGTGTCACTGCATCGCCTCACACCGCACCACATCACTCCACTTCACATCACAAGCCCATGATATCACATTCCATCATCGCACCACACCGCGCCGCTCGGCGCATCACAAATCTCCCCTCCTTGCCCCATTCCCCCACCTCTCCCCTCCCCCGACTCCCCCCCGGGCCCCCGGGACAAGCATGCACCACCATCCGATCTGCACCGCCCGTGAAATTCGCTGACAGTATCAATCCCGCTTCCCACTCATTCTTTCGGTTCTCCGCCTCCCCCCACCTCGTCTCGCACACCCCCTCAGGACCACCATGCATCACCACCCAATCTGCGCCGCCTCGTGCCGCATCGCCTCAGAGCGCTCTCAGAGGAGGGCTGCGTGGTGAAGGTGAGAGCAGGGCTGCCTGGTGAAGGTGAGAGCAGGGCTGCCTGGTGAAGGTGAGAGCCCATGTTGTAGCCCCATCATGCTATCATCCCGTCGTGCCATCGTGCTCCTTGGCCATTTGCAATTCCTCCCCACACCTCATGCATGGTCACTACCTCTAACACCTCCCACTCCTCCCTCCTCGGTTTTTACGTCCCAAAAACCCCTGCCTCTCACCCACATGGCCAATACCTCCACCCCTTCCCACCCTCTTTACTCACATAAGAGTCATGGCACCCCCTTCTATCCCCATTGTCAGGAGAAGCATCTTCCACTCATACACTCGTACTGCCAGTCCCTGCTGATCCTCCCTCCCCTCCACTGGCAGGTGAAGCAGCTTTACTACCTGCCTCGCACCCCTGCCCCTCCACTCTCACTCTCACCCACTAGCGGGCAAACGCCCTGCCTGCCTCACAAACTCACATGCTCGTAAACCCCACCCTTCTTGTGCCCCCCACCCACGGGCAGGTGAAACAGCTCTACTACCTGCCTCGCAACGCACCTCTGGCCCTCCTCTCTCACTCTCACTCGCACGCCCACTCGCACGCCCACAACCATGACCAAGGGCCAGGGCAAGGCCATGTGTCAGGGCAAGCACAAGGGCAAGTGCAAGCGCAAGGGCAGGCGCAGGTGCATTCTCCTGCATCTGTCCGGAGGGCACGGGGGGACAGCAGGCGGGCTAGCTGGCATGGGGAGGGGCTGGATGGGGAGGGTGCGGGGAGAGGGGGGTGGGGGGGAAGTGGCAAGTGGGAGAGTGAGGAGGGGAGGGTGGAGTGGGGAAACCGAGGGAGTGTGAGGAGGAGGGACGGTCGGAGTGGCAGGGTGGGCAGTGGGAGTGCTGCAGAGAGGGCGGGGGAGGGCAGGGCCAGTGGGGCAGCAACAGAGGGAAGGGCGGGTGGGGCTGCTGCTGCAGCAGCAACAGCAGCAGCAGCAGGGGTGGAGCATCATTTAGGCATGCGTTCTACAGCTGCTCTTCACTCCTCTTCCCCCTCTGCCCCCACTGCTGCTGCTGCTGCTGCTGCTGCCGCTGCTCCAGTGGATCGAATAGCAGCAGACCTGTCACAGGCCCACCTCTCCCCTCTGCATAGCACCCACATGCCATCTCATGCCTCTGCTGCCGCCGCCGCCGCCACCGCCGCCGCCGCCGCTGCTGCTGCTGCTGCTGCTGCAAGCACGGGTGGTGCTGCTCCTAGTGCTGCTACCGTGGGCCATTTCAAGAAACTCCGCTTCCCCACGCAGCAGTCAGCAGAAACAGCAGGAGCCAGCGAAAGAGAACCAGGCGTGCAAGACCAGACCGAAACTGGAAGAGCAGGCGAGCGTGTGGGAGAAGGAGCAAAGGAGGGGAAGGCAGTGGGTGCAGCGCAGAGTGCGTGGTTGCAAGAGCTGGCACGGAAGGCAGCAGAGGCGATGGCAGAGGCAGAGGCAGCTGTAGCAGAGGCGGAGGCGGCTATGAGAGAAGCAGAGGCCATGGAGGCTGAGGCAGAGGCAGCAGAGGCAACAGCGAGAGAGCTTGAGGGCAGGAGGCAAGCTGCTGCCGTCAGCTCATAGCAACTCGGAAGCGGGAGAAGAAGCAGCAGGGGAAGCAGCAGGGGAGGCGGTGGGTGCAGCAGCCAGCACGGATGGCAGCAGAGGCAGAGGCGATGGGAGAATCAGAGGCGATTGCAGAGGCAGAGGCGGCAGTGAGAGGCGGCAGTGAGAGGCGGAGGAGGCAGTGAGGGAGCTGGAAGGCAGGAGGCAAGCTGCTATCGTCAGCTCATAGCGTTCAATGCTGCTGTTGGCGTGGGTGTGTGCAGCACAGAGTGGGTGTGCACACACCAACCCCAGACCTCTGTCCTCTTCAATGTCAACTGTCTGCACGGTGGAAATCACTTGGTCGATGTGGTGTGGAGACAGTGCATTCCATGTGATCAAAATAATGCATCGATGTGATCTGTAAAACCAAATTTGTGCGCATGATGGTTTGTTTGTACCGTACTGGTGGTATCCTTTCGGCATTTTGTATCGCAAACAGGGTCGTCGCTAGTATGGGTTTGCGATCCAGGGAGTTCAATCCATAGTACGACTAAGGCACATCCGTAACTACTATAGCTATATTCTGACAAGCGCAACCCCTGCTAATGCACTTGTGATTTCACTATAATTTACCATTCACAGACCGCCATGGCACTACCACCTCGTCTAGAGTACCGTACTGTGCTAGTACCAGCTTAGTTTCGGTTGATATCGTTCAATAATGGTGCAGAAATGGAGCAAGCTGTGGAGGGATGGATGTTTTGAGTCATGTTAGTTTCAGGATTGCATGAGGGAGTTTTACTTACTGTAACGATTCTGAGAATGATTTGTAGAGTGCATAAGGTGGCACACGAAACGATTCGTGACTTGTAAGGGTCACAGAAAATTATTACAAAACATCTATTTGGGCGATGATGGTAATTAGGGTAAACAAAGCAGCATCCCAGTCCACAACCTATTTACAGTACAATCATATCCATTGTTAAGGTTCCTAAACATGTCGGTACTGCGGCGGTATCTCTTAACGATCAACATGCTGCATGTGTCTCCACGCTTCACACTGTATGGTCGCTTGGTCGAACATGAAATGCCAGAGAGTGGCCGGGCGTCAACAGCATCCACACAAACCTGTGAGCCAACCATCAGTTTGAACATGATGGTAGGGAAAGAACAAGACCTTCATAAGATGACATTCATACATACACCCAGACAAACAAACAGGCACACAGACACACGACAGACAACGGACGGACGGATGACCACAGGGACACAGGGATGCATGAACGCATGGATGCATGGGCGCATGGACGCATGGATGCATGGACCCATGGACGCATGGACGCATGGACGCATGGATGCATGGATGCATGGATGCATGGACGCATGGACGCATGGACGCATGGACGCATGGACGCATGGACGCATGGATGCATGGATGCATGGACGCATGGAGGCATGGGCACATGGATGCATGGATGCATGGATGCATGGACGCATGGACGCATGGACGCATGGATGCATGGACGCATGGAGGCATGGACGCATGGATGCATGGATGCATGGATGCATGGACGCATGGACGCATGGACGCATGGACGCATGGACGCATGGACGCATGGACGCATGGACGCATGGACGCATGGATGCATGGATGCATGGACGCATGGAGGCATGGGGGCATGGGCGCATGGACGCATGGACGCATGGACGCATGGATGCATGGATGCATGGACGCATGGACGCATGGACGCATGGATGCATGGATGCATGGACGCATGGATGCATGGACGCATGGAGGCATGGACGCATGGATGCATGGGTGCATGGATGCATGGACGCATGGATGCATGGATGCATGGACGCATGGATGCATGGACGAATGGACGCATGGACGCATGGACGCATGGACGCATGGACGCACGGACGCATGGACGCATGGATGCATGGACGCATGGACGCATGGAGGCATTGACGCCTGGAGGCATGGACGCATGGATGCACGGAGGCATGGAGGCATAGTCGCATGGATGCATGGAGGCATGGATGCATGGAGGCATGGACAGCGCACGCACACATATTTTAAATGGCTGTGAAGAAAAAAAGTACGACCACCACTCACCACGACCCACTGTTTCTGACAGGATCTTGCATGCCACCCAAGGTAAAAAAAAAACGTCGTTTTTTTTTAAATGTACCGTAAAAAACGGTTCCAAAAGGTGATTTTCGTTTCAAGAGAAAATCGGCCATTTGATGGGACCAAATTGATGGCGAAAAGCGCCAGGATGAAGAGGACGAACCCCTTCTTGCATGTGTGCATGTGTGGGCATGATTGAAAATGTATCCGACCTTGTTTTTGCCCTTTTTTGCTTGGTGACAAGAGTTCTCTAACAAAAAAACGCCGTATTTTTGAAAAATTATCGTAAAAAACAGACCGTAATTTACGAAAACCGTATTTTTGCACCTTGATGCCACTCCCTGAAACTACTCCCAGCAACAGATTTCTTGCACCCCCTTCATCTTGTGACTCACACCCTCAACCCCTCGACTTCAGCATATTGCCTTATTACAAACAGGTTCACAACTGCTTTGTGGGATATTCATGGGCATACGAGTCGAGTTTTATAAAACTCGCCATGCTTTTTAAATTTTGGTCCATATGGTCGAGTTACGAGTCGTTCCAAAGTCGAAAAAAAAGATCGACGAGTTTTACTCAACCCGACTAGAGGCTAAAAAAAACTCGCAAAAACGAGTCGACTAGAACTTGACTCATCAATTGTCCATGTACAGTGTGTGGGAAGCTTAAGTGTGGGTTTTCTTGGCAGTGGGCCGACGAATGCAGGAGATTTCCTGGGAGACCAAGACCATTTCCTTAGTCCCTCACACACTCTCTGGCACACTCCCTCGTACTCTCTCTTGCACGCTCTCTTGCAGACTCTCTCTCTCTTGCGTCCACACCACACTTCTATACCACACAATCATGTACTAGGATTTACATGCATGTCAGGCCATGAATGTGGGTGGGGCCATGGATGTGAGGTGTTATGAGCATATGCAGAGACCACGTACTCACCTTACTCACAACATTCACCTGCAGGGGACTGTACGGCAGCAGGGCAGCGCACCGCTGAGTGGAGAAAAACGCATCTGAAGCGTTGCGTTCTGCGTTTGAACGCTTGCGTTTGAACGAAAAACGCTGAACGCACAGAAAAACGCAGAACGCTTGGGGAATTTCTTTTTGGTCAGCCCGAATGTCATTTTTGCCAAAAATCAACCCCTCCCGACCCAAATCGACCCCTGAAAACCAGTCCTCCAACCAAAATTCCCAACCCCCCCACTAATGTTATGGGAAAGAATATTATGTGGGGGGAAAAAATGCTCAAATTTGTGCTATGTCCTTCTCCCCCTCCTCCCGATGCCCTATTGGAAGTTTTATTTGCCTGCCCGGAAGTTTTTTTACCCTGCCCGGCCCCGCGTTTTTTTAGCGTTTACAGGACCCCCAAAAATGCGTTCTGCGTTTTAAACGCAGCGTTCACGCCAGCGTTTAAAACGCTGAACGCGTTTTTCTCCACACAGGCGCACCGGATCCTGGGATTCACCTGGAAGAAGCGCATCGGGGATTCACCTGGAAGAAGCGCGTCGGGGATTCACCTGGAAGAAGCGCGTCGGGGATTCACCTGGAAGAAGCGCGTCGGGGATTCACCTGGAAGAAGCGCGTCGGGGATTCACCTGGAAGAAGCGCGTCGGGGATTCACCTGGAAGAAGCGCGTCGGGGATTCACCTGGAAGAAGCGCATCGGGGATTCACCTGGAAGAAGCGCGTCGGGGATTCACCTGGAAGAAGCGCGTCGGGGATTCACCTGGAAGAAGCGCATCGGGGATTCACCTGGAAGAAGCGCGTCGGGGATTCACCTGGAAGAAGCGCGTCGGGGATTCACCTGGAAGAAGCGCGTCGGGGATTCACCTGGAAGAAGCGCGTCGGGGATTCACCTGGAAGAAGCGCGTCGGGGATTCACCTGGAAGAAGCGCATCGGGGATTCACCTGGAAGAAGCGCGTCGGGGATTCACCTGGAAGAAGCGCGTCGGGGATTCACCAAGAAGAAGCGCGTCGAGGATTCACCTGGAAGAAGCGCGTCGGGGATTCACCTGGAAGAAGCGCGTCGGGGATTCACCTGGAAGAAGCGCGTCGGGGATTCACCTGGAAGAAGCGCGTCGGGGATTCACCTGGAAGAAGCGCATCGGGGATTCACCTGGAAGAAGCGCGTCGGGGATTCACCTGGAAGAAGCGCGTCGGGGATTCACCTGGAAGAAGCGCGTCGGGGATTCACCTGGAAGAAGCGCGTCGGGGATTCACCTGGAAGAAGCGCGTCGGGGATTCACCTGGAAGAAGCGCGTCGGGGATTCACCTGGAAGAAGCGCGTCGGGGATTCACCTGGAAGAAGCGCGTCGGGGATTCACCTGGAAGAAGCGCATCGGGGATTCACCTGGAAGAAGCGCGTCGGGGATTCACCTGGAAGAAGCGCGTCGGGGATTCACCTGGAAGAAGCGCATCGGGGATTCACCTGGAAGAAGCGCATCGGGGATTCACCTGGAAGAAGCCCATCCCCATCCCCTTTCCTTCTCCACTACCCATGCCCCCCCCACCTGACCCCCACCCCACACACAGGCCGCCCAACTCACTCATCCGCCCCCCGCCCAACTCATCCATCCGCCCCCCGTACGACTCACCTTACTCATCACATTGCCCTGCGTGGGGCTATACGGCAGCAGCGAGTCGCACGAGAGGCCGGGATTCATCTGGAAGAATCTCATCGGGGAGGCGATGCCAAACGCCCGCCACAACTGCTGGCAGGACTGCGGGCCCTGGAGCACAGTCATGGTCACGCCTTGGTCCATATACTCGACTAGGGGAGGTGGTGGTTGAGGGCTGGGTGGCGGTGTGGCCGGGGTTGTGGTGATGGCTGGGGTGATTTGTGCAAAGACTTGGCATGCCACGCGGGTTTTTGCCAGCTCCAGCCACGTCCTGTTGAAGTCCACACAGAGGAGCTGTGAAGGAGGGAGAAGGGGGAGAGAGGAGGGAGAGGGGGGAGACGAGGAAGGAGGAAGGGGGAGTGGGGGGAGAGGGTGGTGGAGAGGGATGTGTGAATAAACACCCATTTATTAGGACATGGAGCTCAAAGTCGAATATAGACCTAAATGCATTGTGCGACACGATGCGATAAGATGTGCTAAGATGTGATGTGGTGTGTGTGACGTGACGTGGTGTGACGTATCGTGGCATGGCGTGGTGTGGTGTGGTGTGGTGTGGTGTGGTGTGGTGTGGTGTGGTGTGGTGTGGTGTGGTGTGGTGTGGTGTGGTGTGGTGTGGTGTGGTGTGGTGTGGTGTGGAATGATGCGATGTGATGTGATGTGTGATGCAAGAACTTCCGCGAGCAGTAGAGCCCATCTTGGGCATCAATCATGAATCAATAATTTCTCAAGCAGCACATATATATCCAATACGGCAGATTTGAAGAACAGGGATTCTCACCCTTAGCAAACTAGAGGAATGTAGCGGCAACAGCAAGCACAGTTCAGATTCCTCAAGCCGGTAAAAAGAGGGGCATTACCCTGATGATCTCTTATTGCTGCCGCTACAGTTAGCAACATGCAGTGTGCTGTGCACCCTGATGAACATGCAGTGTGCTGTGCACCCTGATGAACATGCAGTGTGCTGTGCACCCTGATGAACATGCAGTGTGCTGTGCACCCTGATGCACATGCAGTGTGCTGTGCACCCGCATTCTCTGACACCCACCTACACTCTCCTCCACTCCACCCACCTTCACTCACCTCTACCCACCTACACTCACCTATACCCAATTAGGCACACGGTATAGTCACCGAAACCCACTTGCACCCACTTGCACCTGCACTCATCTGCGCTCATCTCCACTCATCTCCACTCATCTGCACTCATCTGCACTCATCTCCACTCATCTCCACTCATCTCCACTCATCTGCACTCATCTGCACTCATCTGCACTCATCTGCACTCATCTGCACTCATCTCCACTCATCTCCACTCATCTCCACTCATCTGCACTCATCTGCACTCATCTGCACTCATCTGCACTCATCTGCACTCATCTGGACTCAACTCCACTCATCTGCACTCATCTGCACTCATCATCTGCAGCACCCACCTGGCCGGGCCGGGGCCCATCAGAGCAGCTGAGGGCGGGGTTGAGCGACTGAATGTGCGTGGAGAAGAGGGCGTTGAGGGAGTCACACGAGTCACCCTGCAGACACACATGTCAGGTCGGGTTTAGAAGGGAGTGGGAAGAGGATGCGCGGTTATTGGGAGAATCGAATTGAGCGGCTGTATGGGCGTGGAGAAGAGGGCATTGATGGAATCACACGAGTCACCCTGCAGATTCACAGTGAGCAGTGAATAGAATGCTGGTTTCGGGGTTAAGCTCAATGGCGCTTACATAAACGCACTGACGCTTACAGAAAAGCACTGGCGCTTGCATATTCGGATTGGCGCTTGCATATTCGGATTGGCGCTTACATAACCGCACTGGCACTTACATAAACGCAATCGCACTTACATTAACGCAACGGCACTTACATAATTAGCAGTGTACATGGAGGTGCATTGGGAGTAAGCCCGGCTGGTGACGTTGATGACAGTCTCCACAGGGATGGGCGCTCGGCACTGGAAGCCCTGCAGTCCGATCAAGGAGAGATGACGGATTGGGTGGGTTGCAACGTGGGTAGTCGACAGAAAAAGAATGACTACAAACTCAAGATGGAAGGGGGTATGAGTTTGGAAGCTCTGCAGTCAGAACAGGGAGGGAATGGGACGAGGCAGGCAGAATGGGTGGCGGGAAGAATGAGGGGAAGATAGGGGCAGTGAGGGAAAGTGCGAAAATTGGGGGGAAGTGAGGAGTCGTGAGGGGCAGTGAGGGGCCGTGAGGGGCAATGAGGGGCCGTGAGGGGCAATGAGGGGCCGTGAGGGGCAATGAGGGGCCGTGAGGGGCAATGAGGGGCCGTGAGGGGCAATGAGGGGGGGCAGGTGACCAGAAAGGCAATGTGGTTGTGTGATGTCAATGTGGTTGTGTGATGTCAATCTGGTTGTGTGATGTCAATGTGGTTGTGTGATGTCATGCGATCTGATGTAACTTGTGGTAACCCGAACGAACTGATAACCTTTTGTGAAACCCGTCAAAAGCTTGACCTTGTTTTGGCTGAAGAATTAGCCCTGTGCGAGTCCGTAAGTGTTGAGGACTCTTTGGGCGCCACGAACATAGTTGAGTTTGAGGATGAATGAAGGGGCACGTGATGAGGAAACGAGTTGCGATGCCTGATGTGATGTGATGTGATGTGATGTGATGTGATGTGATGTGATGTGATGTGATGTGATGTGATGTGATGTGATGTGATGTGTCCCGTGACCCCAACCACAGCCCAAACCTTCCTGACCAAAGCCTTTCAGACCTTGTTTTGGCTGAAGAAGGCCGCTTGGGTGAGTCCGTAAGTGTTGAGGATGAGAGGGCATGTGAGACCGTAGGGAGACACGAAGGTGGGCACTCGCAGCTCAAACGATCGCACTGCATGCATGCACGGGGTGCGTGAGCATGGGGCAGACAGGCACGCAGGCAGGCAGGCAGGCAGATTGCAATGCAAGCAGAAAGGTTGCGGTAACAGTCAGCCCACTCGAATTAATTTACCTAATGTGCCTAAGACTTTTGAGTCCACTCACATTAATTTACCTAATGTGCCTAAGACTTTTGAGTCCACTCACATTACATTACCTAATGTGCCTAAGACTTTTGAGTCCACTCAAAACTCGCTGGTTTCTTTGGGGACGAAGTTAAAGTGAAAGAAGAGCGAGGGCTAGAGGCAGGAGATGGAAAAACCCAGTTACTTCCTCTTTGGGACCAGAGGCAGGTAGCAAGTGTGGTTACGCACATTGGTAACAGCGGGTAGTGCGTTTCGAATAGAAGAAGGGGAAGAAGGGCGAGGGGCAGAGGCAGGAGTAGGTGCCGTCTATGTCATCCATGCACACCCCCGGGGCACATGGGTTGCGGGGGAGCTGGCGACACGTGAAGGAATCTGGTGAGAGGGCGGGGGGGGTGGGGGGGGGAAAGGGGGCAGTGGGAAAACGGAACAGGGGATGGGAAATGGGGACACGAGGGCAAGGGGAAAGGGGGGTGGAGAATAAGAGAGGAGGAGAAAGGGGAATCGAGGAGGAAGGCGACGAAGAGGCAAGGGGAAGGGCGGTAGGAGGTAAAGGAGGGGAATGGAGAAAAAGGGGTGTTGCAGGGGCGGTCATAGTGCATTAGAACGCTTTAAGAATTTCAAGAGCCGTAAAAAAAGGAAAAAGATACAGCAGGTCAATAAAGGAAAAAATAAAATTGACGGGAACGAACTTTTGCATTTCCTCAAGAGTGTTGTGAATCGAGAACGAGTGCAATACTATGCCATCCACAAACCAAAAGGGCACCTACCACACTCCACCTCTCACCCACCGCACTCCACCGCTTGCCGACGGCACTCCACGACTCACCGAGGAAGCAGGAGGGCAGGCCGGCGAGGTGCGAGGGTTGGAAGGAGGGGAGATTGAAGGGGCACTTGCAGGAGGGCACGAGGATAGACGAGTCCCATGGGGCTGGCGCCTTGGTGCACACGCCCGTTCCACAGGGCAGCACTGGAGAACCCGTGCAGGGGTCAGTGTCTGTTGGGGGGGTGTGAACTTGAGAGAATGTGTGTGCCGCGCATGCTTTCAGTGTGCCGCGCATGCTCCCTCCTGCCATACCTGTGACACACCCGTGAGTCGTGACCCTGCCAACCATTGCTGCCTCTCTGACTCACTGCTAGTCGGCATGACAGACACGAGGTCGATAGCAGTGCTTCCCGCTTCCGTCGCGTTCGCTCCCGCTGCTCCCCCTGCTCCTGGTATTGCTCTGCTGCTGCTGCTGCTGCTGAGTGTGCTGGTGCTGGCGCCAACGCTACTGGTGTCACTGCTGCTACTGGCAACTACGCTGCTTGTGGCGGTGGCAACACCGCTGGTGGTGGCGACGGTGGCAGTGCTGCTGCTGTTGCTGTTGCTGCTGCTGTTACTGCCTTGCACGCCTCGAATCACCAAGTGCAGCGCCACTCCCCCTGGAGGCACTACCAACGAGGAAGGCGAAGAGGCGGAAGAAGAAGAGGCGGAGGGGGGTTCGGGGAGGGGGAAGAGGAGGGGCCCCACTTGGAACCAGGGCAAGGCGCCGGACAGACTCGCGCTGCTCCCCCCACACGGCACGCCCACCCGCCACTCCCCCCACACCTGCTCCCCCGCTCCTCCTCCCTCCGCCCCTCCCCCTGCCGCGGCGGCCGCGGAAGCGTTCAGCGGAACTGCCAGCAGCAGCACCTTCAACAGCCGCTCCGCCTCCCCTTCCGCGCCCCCTTCCCCCTCCGCGCACAGGCTGGCGCGCGCAAAGAACGAGAGGGACAGCTGGCGCGGGGACTGCTGCGCCTGCTGCGACACGTTGCTCGTGGGCGCCGCGGGTTTGAGTTCGCACAGCGCTTGCGACACGCCTGGGCCGCTGCTGCTACTATTGTTACCACTACCATTGCTACTACCGGAAGCGCCGTCGCCACTAGACGACACGAAAATATCAGATGTCAGACGTAAAAAACGGGAGCCGTCAGCTGCCAGTAGGATGTCCGCGACTCCCGCGACCCCGTTCACTATTGACACGTCAGCAGGCGGCGCTGCCCTGCTTGCTGTCGCAAAAGCTTCCGCCAGAGTTGGGCCCGCTGGCGCAAGCGACGTTCCGCGATTTCCGCCGCCAGATGCGGTGGCTAAGATATCGTCGTTTAAGAATGTTTCTCCAGGCTCTAGCGCGCGCCACGGGAATAAGTACGGCCATGGCTGGCACGAAGAGTTCAGCTTCTTGCGACGCCCTGTGTCGAGACAGCTTATATCGAAGCTTGGGTTCGAGAGGAGGTTTGACGATTCGCCTGTGACGGCCAAGAAAAGGGGGTATAATGGAAGAGAATTGGAGAATTGCAGCTTTGCCAGGTTTTAGCACGTTGGCGGTAACATGTAGAGCTTGAACGAAAAAAAACGGGAGGAGCAGAATGCACACGACCGAGAAAGGGACTTCCATCGGGACGAGGAAGGATGGAGGGAAAAGGAACGAGTAAAATGTGGAAACCTAAACACGCCTGTAGAGAGCTCTCGAGGGATGAAATTTGACTTGAGTACTAGAGACCCGTCTGGTTTTTTAGAATTCTCAAAAACCAGAGACCGGTCGCTACGATTGTGCTTACGACTCGACAACTTGTGTAGCGACGAAGCGGTAGATTTTGGGATACAAAGAACGGGAGAGCCGGAGCCTCTTACTTGGATTCGTTAGGTTAAGGCAGTCGACGAGACCGTTAGCGACACGAACAAAGGCTACGAAGTAGAGGAGAAACGTAAGCCGTAGAGAAATCGCGTCAGAGAGAAGACTCGTGGCCCCTGGTTGAACCCGCAATCTGCGGCGAGAGATGCGGCAATAATTCATCTGTCCCGACACGTCTCCGAAGATCATTTTCTTGAAACTGACTACGTTTTCCGATTCTGAAAGAGGCGTCGGACGTTTCCGAGCTAATCCCGGCCGAACTGACAGTTGCCATGTCGGCGAGTCGGCCTCCCGCGGTGAGCGTACAGTATCGGGACTAACCCCGCGGGGAAGATGGCGATCGCCTCGCCACAGCTGCTACTCGAGGAAAAGATGGGCGTGCTGGGGGTAGGTAGGAACAGAATAGGATAGGATATGCAAGGTCAGTCAGTGCCTTCCCTTGCCAGTTGGTCCCTCACGTTCCCTCACTTCCAGCCGCGTGCGAATGCTCGATGTACACTGTAGATTATGGCGTCGTCGATGGCCTAGGGTACAACTGATGCGCGTTAGAGTCACCCATGGTTGCCTTATGAAGAGTGCGTTTAAGTGGTTTTAGCATTTCGCACATGTTCGTTACCTTCGTCACGGTGTTGGGGGGCTTGTAAAGAAAATTGGTAACAGCCCAGTTGTCTTTTCCGGAACAGTAAGGTGTGGCCTGGTTTTGTTTGATTACCTTACACCGAGTTACCACTTTTTTTATTGTCCATTGTAGCACTCGATTACACGATCATTCACAAATACACACAAACAAGCCCACTTACACCCCCAACCAATCACACGCCTCCACCTCCACATCTTCAAACTTCAGTCGGGCCTACATGTCGAACCACCAAATGTGCACAAGATGTGCACATTTGGTGCTAGAGGAGAATCAATCCTCTCGAAGGCTAACGCACAGTCATCCATTCGGCGGCGTCAACGTAGCCACCCATGACAGCGCCGACCCCGGAGTCTATGAGTTCGTGACGGCTGCGGGGAGGCGCTGTCATCCACGCCGGCAGCACACGCCCACGATGACGCGGGGTGCTGGCCTCCGCGTTAGTGGCAGGCACGGCAGCATCAGCCCGCATAGCTGGCGGCGGCGGGGTGTTGAGGTTGAGGGGGGGCTCGCACGCTCCATCCGATCGATGATGATCGAAGAGAGCGCAAAGGTCGTGCGGAGTAATGCATGTCGCACGGGCATAGCCGATGAGCATTTCGCATGCCGCCCGTGCCGTCCGCCTCGCCTCGCGCGTCTCCGGGTTCTCGTCATCGTATACCTCCTGCATGGTAGTAGGCGGCTCCCAAGATGCGCGAGAGTATGCAATGGCGGGCTCGATAGCCAGGGGATCCGGGCCCGGCTCGGCGTATGTTGGCTGGTCGTTGTCGACCGCCACGAACTCGACAGCCGGCATCGCGTTTGCCCCGAGGCCCAGGCGACCGATCATGATCTTGACGTCGAAAATTTCGTCGTCGAGACTGATGCTGAGCGACGTGTTGACACCGCCGTTGGGGCCATTGTTGTTGAGCCCTTCCGCGCCGACAAACGCGAGATCCATGGCCCACGAGCGCGGAAGTCACCCCGTGCGCCACCAGCAGCGCTGGATGGTGCGCGCCGGAATGTTCATCCACGCCTCGTTGAGCCACGCGACGACATCCCGCATGTTCGGGCGGAAGCGCGCCGATGCCACCGTTCCGCCCGCTTCCAGCCAAAGCTGTGTGAAATCACGGAGCCAGAGCTGCCTGTAGCGAGTCTTGGTCATCGCTATCAGGCCCTGGTCAGGCGGCTGGGTGAATGCGGTCGTGTTGGGCGGCAGAAACACAAGACGAATGTTGCCCAGCTTGCTTGTGCGGAAGTCGAACAAGTCATCGGCTTCCGCGTCCTCGCTCCGGATGACGTGACTCCAATAGTATGACGATGAAGCGGTCTTCCGCCAGCATCGCGACGTTCAGCTGCTCGATGAAATGCGTGAACATCTGCGATATCAAAGGGCGGGAGATGGCGTAACATCGGAAGACCCATGAGTGACAGGCGGGGATGTGGTAACACATGCAATGCGCGGCAAGACAGACATGTACAAGGCGGTCTCGTCAAAATTATACACGTCACGGGGGCGCACAGCAAGGTACATCAGCAGCTGCGGGAGTTGGTCCTGGCAGGTCCGGACCGCGGCATGGTCTTGGTCGGTGGCCTCGCCAGTCACACTACAGCACCGAATGCCATTTTGGCGCAGAGCCCGGCGAACCCACCCCACGGAGCAGCGGAACGCGGCGAGAATCGCCATGTCGCGCGCCATGGCCGCCACGTGGTCCCGGATGGTGGCGAGGGTGAAGTGGAACACCCGCCGCCACAAATGTGTTTGTAACGTTCCTGGGTAACCAACACCACACAGCATGGCGTGTTACTAACCAGCATTAGAGCGGGCGATGTGTTCTTAACCAACATTCTGGGAATGAATGTTGGTTAGGAAATGCGATTGTAACATAGCAGGGTAACAAGCACCACAAATACTGACGTGTGCTCGGCAGCACCTCGTCAACACCGAGGGGTCTGTAACATACATCGTCTCCAACCACGTGGGCAGCTGGTGGGTGTCATCGAGTGTGTGGCAGTCAACAGAGCTGGACGACGTGGCGTACAGTCACGGGCGATACTGCGCGCGACGTCAAAGTGATTTCGTCCAGTGTTTTCGCCACATCTGTCTCCGGCCCAGAAACAATAATATTATGGGCCGATGTTTGTTGTTGTCATGTGCAGAAGTCTTTTTTGTCAACGTGCCACCCACACACAAATGGTAATGGTTGCTTATAACGTCGGTGCAACTACCCGGGGAAAAAAACGGGTGCATGCTTTCTAAAAGGTGCAGAGCAAATTCGCGTGCAGGGGTTAAGCATCATGTGTATGTCAAAACAAACCTGCTGGCGATACACCAGATGCACGTTACAGACCCACAAGGTTACTCATATTTTTAGGCATGCACTGAGCAATGCACTTCGTTAGCGTTCGTTCAATTCGCCAACGGGCAAATGGATTGTAAAAAGGCCAAGGAGTAACACATTAGGTATTTTCAAAACATTTTTTTGTTGACATTATCTATTATACACCGATGTTTTTTTTTACGGGACCCGTTTTTTTCCTACTCTTTCTTATTCTGACGAGCCGCCTTCCGTAATCAACTTGCTCCGCAGGCTTGTGTCATGGGTGCAGCGGGCTGGTAATTAATGCAATTGGGTAGGTGCTAGAGAAAGTCAGTGGGGACGGAAAGAGAGTGAAATTACAGCTGGCGTTGGAAAACCACAATAACACGATACGTATGGGACTCCATCTTGATACCCCATCTCAACATTTCCCGCACCCCAATCCGTCATCTACACCCGCATATCCACCAAGTGGGGCGCATCCGCCCACGGAGTGTCCCACCCAACTTCCCGCCCCACCCAAACAACATCTGACCTCTCATCACCGCACGTAACAAGATTGCACGCACCTAGGCTCGCTGCAAAGCCAGCCCTATGGCTGCTCTAAGTGATCCGTGGAAAAACGCATCACCCTAAGTTCGTCTTTCCCGTGGCCCTCGGCGCTCCTTTCGTATTCGCTACGTCAAACTGCGCATCACCCTGTTTCTTAAGCCACTGTCCAAGGCTCCCTCCCAAACAACCACTGGTTTTGCTACCATGCAGAAAACAACAGCTCTAAACTACTAACATGAAACAAGTTTGCTAACTGCTGCTACTACTGGAACTTACTCACCCAAACCCAAGCCCTCGCATCCCTCCCGCCCCTCCCCCTATTTTGCAAGCACAGGAAAATCATGGAGAGCGAACTCATTCTAGCTGCTCCTCGTAGCCATCCATAGCCACAGCAACACCAGCACGGAGAATTTCTTCGCGCCTCCCCAACTCCATAATGCTTGGTGGCAGCCTACGACCATTGCTGCTAGATGCTGGGAGGTTCAAATTGATCCTTGGGCTTGCTCGTTCAAGGCATCCAATGGTAAAATGATTTCGGATGTCAAGGACAACCCGAAGGTCCCACGGTGTGTTTCCTCTTGCCTCGCATAGACGATGACAACTTCGACGGCAACACTCGATCCAGCAAGTGGCACGCACCTCATCGGGGTCATCTTCAGAGACGGTGGTTTCGCCCACGAGATCCGCACAGGAAGTTCCGGGGTTTCGCATCAAGCGGGTCTGAATCCGGCATGTCACAAGTAGGTTGTGTCTCATCAAACATGACATACAGCGGCGCGAACACGGCTGCACGACCAAGACTGAGGCCGTCAATGAGGTCCGCCACCCCGCCAATCTCGGGTTTAGGGTTGGCTCGACATCGTCCTCTTCGCCTTCCTTTAGATGCAATCCGAGATCCTCCATGTTCATCGCCCAAGCCATGGGGAGGTCAGTAGGTGAGTGGCGCAAAATTCTACCCAAAGCTCGGCGTCGTCGTCATCCGAAGCTTCCACATCTCCATAGGTGAACTTCTTCAAACCCGCTATCTCCAACTGCAGCTCAATCGACTCCATACAAATGTTAAGTTCATGTCAACCTTCGAGCAGCTTAGACACAACAATTTCGTCTGAGGAGAATTTGAAGTAGAGGTAAGTCGGCGCAATTCCACCATCTTGGCCAGCAGACACGTGGGTCGCCGAATTTCGACTCCACTACGCGGAGAAGAGCGACGCCGACCGTTAACATCGCCGTGCGAGTTACTTGCAGAGACTGCACAACTTGCGCATGCATCCTGCCGCCGCATTCGTTGTTTACAGGTCGAGGAGAGGTGGACGCACCTCCGCTTCACCACAGGGAGGGAGATGATCACGCGCCCACAGCACACGAGTCCCTAAGAGCAGCAGCTCCAAGTCCGCTCCGACGTACTCACCATCCACGTGGCGTGCCCGAACGCCAGCCTCTCTCGCCCTCAGGGTGTCCTTTACTCCTTCGCCAACTACGCCATCGACCATGGCGACAAAGGTGGATACTGGCCTAACAACGACTTAGGTAAGGTAGCTGCCAGCCTAACAATGACTTAAGTGATGGCCTAATATGAAGGTTCTAACGCGGGGTCGTGCAGACTCACCGCACCATCCGGAGAGTCACTCTACAATGGGAGTGGACTACGTAGGAGGGCACAGGGTTGTCTTGACGATATAGTGTTGTAGTGTTCGCACTACTTGTTGTGTTCACAAAGAAATTTGGCAAGAGTTTCACTAGCAAAAGAGATTGAACGGATTACAATCGGACATGCAAGTCGGGAAGACATTGCGACACCTAACAAGCATTCTCCAAAGCAGACTGCCATCGCAGTAATAGATAGGCTTGCCAACGTGGCCTACCAGCGTTGCACTGAAGGCGGTCTGCTAGCTTGGCGCAGATGTGCTAGGTGCGCAGATGTGCGTCATCTACCCAGTAGGTGCAGATCTGACGGTTGCACGTTGCGTAGGTGCTAGGTAGAACGCATGTTGACAATTTTGCCAGATGTCTATTGCCGAGCATGTGATGCCATTTCGTGGGTCGACTTCACCAAAACCTCCTCGGTAAAATTCGCACACCTCTGCAGAATTTCGTAGTCAAGCGAATTTGGCCGACCAGTTCGCCAAGACAAAGCTCGCTGAACAATGCATGTGAATCAGAGGACGGACTCATCGACGGCCATTCTTGCTAACCAGCGGGGTCCACCGTCGACAATGAAATCGCGTCTAACGAGGCAGTGTCTTTTCGATAAGCACTGTCGTCTGGCCGCGAATGCTCATTCGTTGACAACTTCGTCGGATCCACCATGTCGTTGTCGAGGACGGCAGCACTTAAGCGAGGGCGTTGCCTTTCTCTTCGACAGTGGCGACTCGTCTTGACATGTCCTTCGTCGTCAACACCCTTGCGCAGTCATGCATGGCACCAAAGCACATTCATATACGCACAGTGCGCTGCTCTAAGAACACAGAGGTACTTGATCGACACAGCTGAAGGTGGTGAGCAGATTGTTGGGTATACTGATTCAAAATGGGCTAGTGAGGCTAATGGCAAGAGTCGTTCTGCCTACATCTTCAAGTTGGGAGGAAGAGCTATCAGTTGGTATAGCATAAAGAAAGACAGACGTTGCTTGCAGCAGTGCTGAAGCTGAGTATAAGGCCCTACCGGAGGGGGCCAAGAAGGCTATTTGGTTGAGGAGCTTGTTGGCTGAGATGCATTTGGGTGTTTGGGGAGCGATTCCTTTGTTATGTGATAATGATTCTGCTGTCTCCCTTGCCTACAATCCCATTCTCCAACGGTGCACCAAGCACATTAAGGTGGCTTGACACTTTGTACGGGATGCGATGTTCCAGCATGAGGTCGAGGTGCAATCAGTACGCTCCCACCTCGAGGATGCCAACATGCTCTCCAAAGCTTTCTCAAGCTTGCAGCTGCATGAGAACCTTGAGCGCATCCGCATGCGAGTGATGGCTGCAAAGGCCAAGGCTTTATGACATGGACTTTGATTCTTATTGGAGCAAGGGGTTGGAATTATGGATAATTCGTGTTGATCCAAAAACATATTTGTAGTGTTGGATCAACACTACTTTAG